TGTATACGGTTAAAGGGAAAAGAAAGCGTAAACCTGCACACTGTCTACTGCAAGAAAGCAACCATCCGCGTGACAGTCAATTCGGGCCTTGTCAATCATCTAAAATTTCTATGTGAAAGAGAAAATTTGTCGGACAAATGCATAGCTGGCGCGCTAACACACCTGTCTTCGCCAAGCCTGCGCATTGTGAAAGCTTTGATCTCTCTTTCCTCCATATCTTTAGATATCGACAAATGCATAGATGGCGCGCTAACACACCTGTCTTCGCCAAGCCTGCGCGCTGTGAAAGCTTTGATTTCTCTTTCCTTCATATCTTTAGACATCGATACACCGGTGTTCTCGAAATCTGACCGACAATGGTACCTTCTGCAAATGCTTGCTGCGGTTACTAGGGCAGCTGATGTCTTCGCGGCGAGAGGCATGGCCGTGTAGGCGTCGTGAGGGACCACGTGGTGGTTCATGGATGCCGGGGGGTCCAAACACACTTGCTCTAATATAGTTTTTCTGTTTGTCTGCAACGGACAACTACGTTACCAGGGTGACTAATGTGCTTATATAGTTGTAATCATGCTCGCATAAACATGACTTCAGACGCCTACTAGTTTCGGCATGACAAAGCACAACCAACTAGCCCCTACACTGGCCCCTATAGCCCTATATAACTTATAGGTATAACCCCAAGGGACAAGAAGACAGCAGAGTCTATCAGAGAAACAAACGGATGTGAAGGACTCCATTGTCGAAATCAAGAAATGGTTGTGGGCAGGGCACGTAGCGCGCAGGCAAAATAACCGCTGGTCATTCACAGATTGATTGATATGTGGGGTTTAACGTCCCAAAACCACTATATGATTATGAGAGACGCCGTAGTGGAGGGCTCCGGAAATTTAGACCACCTGGGGTTCTTTAACGTGCACCCAAATCTGAGCACACGGGCCTACAACATTTCCGCCTCCATCGGAATGGTCATTCACAGACTGGATTCCAAGAGAAGGCAAACGGGTGAAGGCGACATACGGTTAGGCGGGCGGATGAGTTTAGGAAGTTTGCGGGTACAAAGTGGCAGCAACAAGCACAGGACCTAGTTGACTGGCGGAACATGGGAGAGGCCTTTATCCTGCAGTGGACGCAATCAGGCAGAAGATGATGATGGGACAGATTTTTGAGCTTTCTCGGGCACAAATGAAGCATTCTAACGCTTCACTTGTGCCCTAGAAAGCTACTCACCCCCGTATTTACAAACGCGCCTCGACTCTACTTTCAACCTTCACTTGACAGAGTTGCGCTACTCAAGAATAACAGAAAATTATCACTGATATCCAGTGACTTTCCCTGCCTAGAGATGGCGCACCCATCGGATTTCTCAAGTGAAGGTGGAGCGTTTAGTGAAGGGGCGTTCTAGAATACGGAGGTCAATGACATGACAGTATTTTCGCACCTATCACAGACTCTTACAACACAAGCAGAAGCGGGCGTGACGTCACGCAACCGACGAAATGAAACAATTTTATTGCGAGATCTATTCATCTGAACGGTCTGGCCTGGACTTACAAATAGAAGACAACTCCGAACAGCCTCCCTGGCCTGCTGGATAGCCCAGGTTTGGACTTCTAAATTGGAGCTGAGCAGTGTGGGCGCCATCGTTCCCGGAGTGGTTCCGGGGAGCCTTTTCGCAACCATCGGAAAGGCCTTAGGAATTTAGGAGGTGCTGGCTATCCCCACAACCGCTCACGTCACCTTTGAGTGCACCGCTGACTACTTTTCTCCCTTTCCACCAATCTTTCAGTCTACCCGTATTTAAGAGCTGTGCGAAGACGCCCTTCACGACGGCGCCCCCGAGGTCTGTCGGGCGCTCGTTCTGCGGGTCCGGGCTGCCGCAGAGGTTGTCATAAGCGTCTTGGAATAGGGACCCTCTCAGTTTTCGTTGCATTTGAATATTAGATGTTTTCATCATCAGCAGCAGCACACATCAGCATACGGCCAGCTTGCTTCAAGCTGAGGTTACAAAGTACGAAAACCACTTCACTCCATGGAGCCGCCGTACTCTCCCAGGCGTTTTGATAAGTCAAGCAAGATTGTCACCAAGAGTTAACCTTACTTCATATAGCACTCCAATTAGTTGCTACAGCATTCGGTGCTTCGCCCTTGAGGCGAGACTGCTTGTTTCGCGCCATCACCAACGTCATGAAGGGCGCGTCGAGTGACGATAGCAGCTTGCCACATCACGGATGACGGCACTAAAACAACGTGGGAGCAGTTTCGGCGCGATGATGCGTTTTGGAGCAGGATGGTGCAGCAGGTGCCGTTTGCAACAGCGTGACAATTGGCACAGCATTTCCACCACTGTACATCTTAATTCTCCGTATTTTAATGGTATTGTTTAGTCTCTTACGACCTCTTCAAGCTAGGTTCCTGGCCCACCACCCTTGCGGTACACGCCTAAAAAATATTGGCGATCACTGCGTTCTCAAACACGCGCAAGTGGAAGAAAATTCCAGCCTGACGAATGCTTCCCTGCCATAAACATCTTCCACCATTATTGGGGATAACATTCACAAATGGCACAACCCTTTGGCGTTCTCGTGTGCCAGAGGCAGGAGCCTACCATGCTAACGTTACATGACGAGCGATCCCCCCCCCCCCCCCTGCGCACTAACAAGGCCAGGATTGCACCCTCGACACAATATGAACACAAGTCACACGCGTTCACTAAACGCTCTCAAGTGTGCCTGCAACACCGGATTGAGTGGGTGTCACCCTTAACTATTTCTAAACTCGCGGTTACTGTGGGTACCGTCTAGTATTGAGCACCAAGAATTTAAATGTTTCGAATTTCGTGTCCGTCGTGGATAGTAATATGGAGCAGACAGCAGACATCAAGTTGTGAAAATTGTCGAAACAGCTACGGAGACAATGACACGACTCGAACATCCCAAAACACCTTCTCGAGTTAACGCATTTGTATGGCAGCGTTGTTTTTGCGAGGGTCATGAGAACTCGCCATACATTTTTCTATAAGTACACAAGAGGGAACTATGGTTCAAGCAGACAGTTATAGTTTACCGTTAGCGTGATAGCGGGGGTTAAGGGAATAGCGTTACCGTGCCGGAAACGTTCATTGCGGACAGCGCCTTATAGTTACGCGGGATTGCGTTCACGTGCCCCAGCTGGGACAGCGGTGAATAAGAACAGTGTAAATGAAAATAAAACGAAAATGTTTGCCTATGTGACCATATGAAGCAATGTTACAAGTTCTTTTTTTTTTCAGTAATAATAGAAGTAACTAATTACGAACCATGCACCAAATGCGAAATTATGTTGCCGATTAGTTTACATCTTTTAGTTAGGCCTAGAGACGTTCAAAATGAGAAACTAGCTCAAAAATAACTCTGAATTAGACTTACCCATAATACGCGGTCAACAAAAGTAACTGAAGGCAAGTGATATCACTTTTAACAGTCGTTTGCTGCGAAGTGAAACTTTCAACCAAAAATCGCTTGGAAGCGGGCGTCAGCAACCACCGCTACATTTTACGTACGCCACGTAAACCACGCTGACACGGTAACATTAAATCTAAAAAATATTGTGTACGGTCATGCAGACTTCGATCTCGCTAAGACCACTATCCTGCTAAGCCCGGTAACCTTTAACTGTGGCGTCTATGGCAGCTGCAACGCACAGCGCTTCAGCGAGCATGGGAATGATGGGTAGTACACGGATTCGTTCAGTTCAGCAGTTGCGCTTCACCACCTTAATCATTTAGGCTTACCATTTCAAATCGGTTCACGAAGTTCAAAAGGATTAGTTCTGTTCTTCGAAACAAAACCGAAACCAGCAATAAAAGAAGCCACAAGTGCTTTCGAAGCTCGCAAGCATGAAGACTAGGCAAATTTGCGTACAGCCCATCATTCCAGTGGTCGCTGAACGACTACAGCGCCCGAGTCCCCTCTAGTTAACTTTAGCCAACTCTATGGCACTCATTGCATTTACCTGGCCCCCTGGTAACCATCCAAAAATAAGGAAAATGTTGATAGTGCAGGAGTTGGCTGGAAATCGTGGTCATTCCATTAGGATAATTACATAGGGCTTGAACATGACTGGCGATTCTGTTCAATAGTTCACGGAACAACATTAAAAAGGAGAAATATTTTATCTAGATTTCTATCACCCAGCCTGAGTACAGATCAAGATATTAAGCAATGTGTCTGAAGACGGTCCAGTCAACTAAATATGACCCATATGATGTAAGAAAGTTATACTTGGAGATGAACCACTTTTTCATGCGTCCAATCTTGCCGCAAAGAGACAATCAGCCGCTGGGTGGACAGCGTTTCGATTCTATTTCAGACATCCAAAGGGCTCTGATGAAGGAACACTGTAGAAATAAATCCAGAAACTATACAGATACGTATAAACCTATAAAACAGCTTACCTGCACAACAAAGTTGTGCACAAAGTGGCACATCTCGTCCCTCTATAACTATTCACGTTGTGCAGCGTTTCCACTGTTAACCACTGCAGAGCTAGTCTTTCCACCCCTCTGTGCGCATGATCATTTATTCTGCAGGTAAGCAGCCAAAGTTGATGGTAATCGTGCATCAAGGTTATTCTTTTAATTTTCAGATAACGCCCATCTGAAAAATTTGGACACACTAAGCAGATCAGATAGTGACCAGAGCTAAGCGTGTTCGTCATACCTCCACCATTTTTTTAATGTAAAAAAAAAAGGCTAGGAGGTCTGTATTTAAATCCATACTAAAGGGACTTACAACTTCACAAACTCTTGCTCTAGAAACCAACTTGTAAAATTGATTAATAAGCGCTACTGATTAGGGCAACAAGTGGCAATACTAAGAACTTGCTCCATACAATACCACCCAAAGCATCTCACTGGAGTGCTGCTGCATATTTTTAAATTTTTACTAAGGTTAACAAAGAAAGCTTTGGTCGGTATAATTTCACAACAGATATGATTAGCTTGAACACTAAAGAACAAAATGTACAGCAAGTATGAAGGCCTTATATTATTCAAAATGCAGAATCACATCACTTGAGATAACCAGGGAGAAATAGGGGGGGGGGGGGATGAAGAGACCCCAAAGAAATGGACAGAGTCATGACCACGTGAATTGTTTTTTAAAAAAAAGAGGAAAAAAACAACAAGCACACAATGTGATTTGTGAATGAAACAAGCATGGCATGCGAATGCCGACCACTTCGTGGCTATCTTGAGTACGGCTTGCTATTATGTGATGAGCTCAACTTCTCTTTCACTGATGAAGGCATCTGAAAAGAAAGCAAGTCACTCGGTCAGTCCTAGTGCATTAATACAGAGCAAATACTTAAATAATTAAGAATTAGCAATTTGAAGACATTGCAATTGTCATAGTTTCTAGTCCTAAAACCACGACATCATTACGAGAAACACCATACTGGAGGGCTTCAAAAATATGAACGATTATTTAACATGCGCCTAAATTCATTTACATGAAACTCTAGCATTTTCGCCTCCATCAAAATGAGGTCACCCTCCCTGCAATTTGACCCGCAACCTTCGTGCCTGCAGTCGAGCACCATAACCACTACACTGCAACCAGGACGGGGGAGGGGGTTGCAATTAGTTCAATTCACTGACATAATGTTTTCTGTAGTTCACTACGATACTGGCATCAAGATGCATCTGTGGTTGCAAGCCTCTCAGAATGTACAATTTTTAAATCCTTGCCACATGAAGGGGCCATGTCAGGGTCACCAAACAATTCTTGGTTTTCAGTGATAACTAGAAGTAGAGGGTCTATTCTACCTATACAGTTATGAAAAGCGGGCCGTGAAAGAATATTTCCCGGCAGGACATGTCCTAGAAGTCACCAGCTGCAAATCCCACCCACTGTCGGCGACTGTCATTTTGCCCGCCAGTGACGTCACTTGCAGCAAGGAGTGAAGCCATCGTATTTACCATAATTTCATCTGCTAAAAATAGTTCAATTTGTGTGTTAAGGAGAATGCTCAAATATATCGATTTCGCACTCAGCTGAGGATAGAACAATATAGTTCACTGGAATGCAAGCACTTGCACAGACAGCCGCTACTTACGCCACGGCTCGCGAGTGCGCCAGTGTCTCCAGATTTTCAGGCTGCTCAAGGGTTTGTAAAAATAATAATTCAAGTGCTTAACCTAAAGTGCTAAAATTTCAGCAGCTTATTTGTGAATGCTACAGGAAAAATCCACACACCACAGATTATGATCAAAAATGGGGTGTTATGGCCCCTTTAACATATCCTCAAAGTCGGAATTATAAATTCTACTTGGAAAAGTATAGTAGGGCATATATTCTTAACAATAAGCAAAACTTAAGATTCATCAATGATTGCAGGAAAGCAACTAAATTTATAGCTGTGTACACTAACACTACTATGTGTGCCCTGGTGATTACCTTTGGCTAAGTTATAATATGAAATTCAATGTTAATATAATGAAGAAATGCTCCTTTCAGAAATATTAAAGTTTTCAATTTTTTAACTATCTTTTTCAGTAAACAAGTATATGATTTGATTATACTACACCACAAAAACAAATCATAATATGTTTTTTTAGTTGTCTCTTAATGGTTAACACATTCACAGTGTCGTGGGTCACAGCTTGTCCTCCCTGTACGTGGTTGAGAATTTGCATGAATTTATCTGTTTGCTGTTGGGATAACTTTGTGACACTTGAACAAAGAGATATATGATTTTTGTTGCAGGAGGATACACATGCCACGAGAACACTTGTCTGATGTTAAGGCTATGACCTACCAGTGACCCACGGTGCATTCAATAAAAAAGTGCCAATGCTATGTGCGGTGTGAACCACCAGTGACCCATGCAGAAGAGCTGTCAACCTTGTGCTGCCTTTCGTTCAAAACTACAACTATTATATGTTGTCTATTGTACTGGACGAGAGGTAGGGCTATTGTTTCTAAGGGACCTAGCGGCGATATATTTCTTTGTTGAGTTGCAGTTTTTGAAATACGTGCTATTGGACGTTCAAAACTACAACTATTATATGTTGTCTATTGTACTGGACGAGAGGTAGGGCTATTGTTTCTAAGGGACCTAGCGGCGATATATTCTTTGTTGAGTTGCAGTTTTGAATACGTGCTATTGGACGTTCAAAACTACAACTATTATATGTTGTCTATTGTACTGGACGAGAGGTAGGGCTATTGTTTCTAAGGGACCTAGCGGCGATATATTTCTTTGTTGAGTTGCAGTTTTTGAAATACGTGCTATTGGACAAGCATAGTTCTCCCAGCTACTGCAAAAGTTTGCAAATGGGGACTCGAGCCTCGTACGCAAAACAAAGCGCAGCATTGAGGAAAGAAACTAACTGATCATAGAAATTGAGTTAATGTGTTTTCAGAGCAAGCACTTTTTATCTCTGAAATAAATGAGCCAAATGCCCACTGTAAAGGTGGCGGTGCTGTCGCGTTGGTTGATATTCCCACTAAATTTTAACTTTTATCAACCTTATAAATATTTACATCACAGAAACATCATAATTTTTCTTGTGACAAGCACTTTGTATTTCAACATAAATTTACTCAAAAAACAACTCTGCTTCTTTCAAGCAAACGCGTCAAACAACCGCTGCAAAAGGTGGTAGCGCCATTTAGCTGGCGGAAAAGATAAAGGTATAGCCTCATGTCCGACCAATGGAGGTCACTATGCCCTTAAGGGATATACCCAAGGGCCCACTGATGGGTCTCTCTGGACCTAATTCCAGACCAACATAAGGATACCGCAGTGAATGTGCTAACAAGTATATTATTGCATTTAAGAAACTACACAACAAAAACAATCATGGCATTACAATTCATTCCCAAACATTCACACGAACTGTTCACTTTGCGATTTGAAAATACAGTCGATCCTGAATATATTGTTACGGTGCGAAACACTGATATATTGAATTATTGGCTACAACGAACAGTTGAGATATTCCCTTGAATTTCCCATGGAAGAGTATGGACTGGTGAACACGTATATCGAACTACCGCATAGCAGAACATTCGCTTTATCGAACGCCGAGTCGCGGCCAAAGCCCAAAAACAGCTTTTTTTCCTAACAAATAGTGATAATTTTTTTGGCCGCATCCAAACAAATTCCGATCTATTGGCCCGCAGGTGATGAAAAAGCTGTGTTGAAAAGCGAAAAGACGAAACTCTATTGCATTGATCTAGTTCATTGCGCAGCGCTTGCGAGTGCACCAGTATGCTTGATGCCCAATCTGCAGGTTTTAAGGCATGGATATTGTGTTTTTCAAAAAGACCGATTGCCGAGGGCACCAAAACGTGATTCAGCTATCTCGTTGCCATGTTCGAATTCCCTTATGCATGATGGCATGTGGGATTGAGAAGCGCGGCCTTTGAGATGTGCAACCTTGTGACATATTCGATCGAGCCTTTTAGTTTTAGTATGCCTACCTTGGAGGCTATGCTGTGTTCTAGTTTTACGCGCCAAAGCAGCAGGTGCCTGCTACAAAACAACAAGCCACAAGTGACATCGCTATCACGGTAATAGCTTGCTCGTTTATTGTTTGTGGGCAGCATAGTCTTTTTGCACTTGCGCACTTCTTGCCTCGTTCCTGATATATCATTTTGGTGTCTAAACTAAACATTGATCCGCTCGTAGTGATAAAAATTATGATTGGTGCTAGGAGTGACGTCAAGTAAAGCTCCGTTGAAAACTGTTTTCTTGCCGGCTTTGGTGCCAGGTGACAACTTAGGGTGCGTCGTGACTGCCGACAACAGCATACGATGCCTGAATAAATTTTATGACTTGTTAGCATTTCCGGGCACTCTCGAACAGCGAGTGGTGCATTTGGCGCAGATGGCAACATCACTGTTTCCGACACCACTGATACCGAGACCATGGCAGACGTTGCCAGTGCTGCTGATTGATTGATTGATTTGTGGGGTTTCACGTCCCAAAACCACTATTTGATTATGAGAGACGCCGTAGTGGAGGGCTCCGAAAATTTTGACCACCTGGGGTTCTTTAACGTGCACCCAAATCTGAGTACACGGGCCTACAACATTTCCGCCTCCATCGGAAATGCAGCCGCCACAGCCGGGATTTGATCCCGCGACCTGCGGGTCAGCAGCCGAGTACCTTAGCCACTAGACCACCGTGGCGGGGCGTTGCCAATGCTGCGGAAAGCGTTTTGGTACCACCACTAACCAACCCTTCAACATTCCACGGAGCTCACATTGGCAATCAGCGTTAATCAACAGTGCTGTGACCGACCGAGTGAGCTGAATTCGCCCATTTAAAGAGCTTCAATGATATTGAAGAAATTTGATGGGGCGCAAAAAGCTAGATAAGTTTACGGACAATTTTCAAGCTAAATAGAGTGCAGAACTAGCAAAAGAAGATGTTCGCACCTTGTACTTTATCATACTGTGAGCGAATGATTATGTAAGCACTTGTTACGGGTTTGTAAAACTGTTTCGAGGCCCGAGATGCTTCAAGTTGAGCGTTAAAGAAGCCTTAAATATGTATATTTTGTATTTCAAATTATCATTATGCCGAATTATTTTGCGATCCCCTTCAAGTTTGATATATCCGGGATCAACTGCATTCATTCAGACTGTGTCGCTCCTTTTTGACTTGAAAGAAAAATAACCTCCAAAAACGACTGACAAAAAGGTATCTGAATAGCGTACGCATGAAGCAAACAGGACAGAGAACAAACTTTTAATGTCATACCAACAAACCTAAACAGGCACAGCTGACCAAGGGCAGTGTTCAGAGTTCGGGAATACGACATTATCATTCACAGTGTATAGTGATTTATTTATGGTGAAGGAAAGGTCAGCAGTGAGCCACTTCAGTCAGTGGTACTACCATAAAAACCGGAATATAGACAATTTTGCTGTTTGTAAACAAACAGGCGTGTGTCAGATGGTGTGCCCTTGAAAATTTTTGGAGCGTCATTTCCAATAATAATTTTTCAGTGGTCCCAGGGGTGTTTTCCTGGCATCTTTGAGTTTGTTGCTATATCATTTCTGGTGCATTCATTCAAGTGTGTTTACAGCGATGTCTAGCAACTAGGTGAAAGGACTTGATGTCGCACAGGAAAAGAAAAAGCAGAAACTGCAGTGGCGATAAACAAGTCAGCCGCTGGATAAGGAAGTTGTGCAATCCAGCTTTTCGACTGGAGCTAAAAACCTGCCTCCTGTCACAACCGCCGATTGTCCAACATACTGAAATACGTAAATTTGTCTTGGTACACAACTTCATGATAAAATGCTTATTAATAGGTGCGTTCAACGTACACAGGGCACTTTTGATTTAGAGGTTGACGCCGTTCGAAATCGCTCACGATCCACAGTATTCAATGTGACTGATATAGTGTAAAATGTTGATTGATATGTGGGGTTTTACGTCCCAAAACCACCATATGATTATGAGAGACGCTGTAGTGGAGGGCTCCGGAAATTTCAACCACCTGGGGTTCTTTATCGTGCACCTAAATCTGAGCACATGGGCCTACAATATTTCCGCCTCCATCGGAAATGCAGCTGTAGTGCAAAATGTACTCATCATGTAATGACGTCAGGTGTGGTTGAGTCACGCGCACTATATGCTTTGCTAACTAGTAAACTACTTCCTTTCTACTCACACCTATTCCCACATTCTGGACAGTTGTCGGTCCCTCTAGCCACTTTCGCGTTGCACCACAGTTTCCTGCTTAGCAGACACAACAGCCACATGAACTATCAATGCACTAGGCTTGTTCACTGACAATTCTTGAGCCAGGCAGGAAGTATTGAAAAACAAAGCACAACAGACGGCAAGAATTCACAGCGCAGGATTAGGTTCTCAAGCATAGCGAAATTGCATTGCATGATAAGAGAAATAAAATTCACCTTGTGAGATGACTTGTCTACTCTGTCGGACTTGCTTGAAGATTTGTCTCCATCAGACTTGCTCTCACCATCAGACCTATCCTGGTGGGAATTTTCTCTGTCTAGCTTTTCACCATCCATTTTGTCGGACTTGTCACGGTCTGATGCTTTGTTTCGTTCGGAACTGTTGTTTTCCTTGATATCAGACCTATCTTTAGAACGGTCACGCTCTGCCTTTCCTTTCTCAGCTTTTTCAGAACGTTCTTTGTCCCGATCAGATTTGCCATCCCTGTCAGACTTGCTATCCCTTTCAGTTTTGTCCTTGTCATACTTACCCTTATCTAATCGACTCCTGTCACTTTTGTCTTTTTCAGATTTGTCCCTGTCCATTCTGCTTCTGTCCGACTTATCATTGTCTGTTTTATCCTTCTCTGACCTGTCTCTGTTTGATCGATCGCGATCAGATTTCTCGCGGTCGGATTTGCTTTTGTCTGAACGGCTGCGATCAGATTTGTCTTTGTCAGAACGGCTAGACTTTTCCTTAGAACGATCCCTATCTGACCTGTGCTTGTCACGTGAATGATCCCTTGACCTCCCCTTGGAACGGTCTCTAGATCGTTCCCTAATATCTTTTGATCTGTTTTTTGGCTTTTCCTTAGAGCGGTCCCTCGACCTCCCCCTCGAGTGTCCTCTAGACCTGTCTCGCGACCTTTTCCTAGAGCGGTCTCTTGATCTTTTCCTGGAGCGGTCTTTAGACCTACCCCTGGAACGATCTCGCGACCTTGCCTTCGAGCGGTCTCGCGATCTACCTCTTGACCTACCCCTGGAGCGATCCCTTGATCTTCCCCTCGAACGACCTCGTGACCTTCCTCGATCTCTTGATCGCCCCCTTGAACGCCTACGTGAGCGGCTGCGAGATCTCTCACGGGATCGGTCGCGTGACCTCCCTCTATCCCTAGATCGCCCCCTAGAGCGGCCTCTTGACCTAGACCTTGATCGATCCCGTGACCTTCCTCGAGAACGGCTACGAGACCGTGACCTGCTTCTTGACCGCGACCAATCACGAGAATGATCAGATTTGTCATCTCTATCAGCACTGGCACGAGAGCTGTTCTCAGTTACTTCGTCTTCAGACTCTTCTTCATCTGGCTGTGGAGGACACTCAGTCTCTGGCCTCCAGATGCACACATTGCCATCCTCCGCACCAGTAACCACGAAGTACTGGAAACATGAATAAAATACAAGTTTAGAACCCTGAACATAATGAAACCCGAGGTCATTCCCTCAGTAAATGCGAACTTAATGCATAGAGCATGAACAATAAACCACAGACGAATTCTCTTTTTTTGCACTAGATTCTAAACTGTTGAAAATGACAGATAAGAATACATACTATTTAGCACTTTCACCACCAACAGAGGGCACTAGCATAAGTTAAATATAGAGATTCCACGAGCGCGCCCCCGCTTAGAGTGTCGCCATGCTTTGAAAGGGTTGATGTTACCTCGCCTCGCGTGTCCGCCATGTTTCGGCCCATGCAGCGCTTTGTTTAAACGTGTATGCGGTGCCAGCCCCCTTATCCTAAGTCCTTCAATATGACTGTATATTGCATGCAATAGCGAATGAACCATTCTAGGATTGGATGGGAGACATTTTCTTTCCCAAGTGATCGTAAAGGAAGACTTTTATGGCGAGGGAGACTAGGGCGTGACAAGTGGCAGCCAACAAATGCCTCTCATGTATACAGCGCACTTATATTGCAAACTTCGTGCCTGTTTCATATCACCTTACCTTTATTACGTCTGGCACTTAAGGGACGATCGGCATGCATATTACTAGTAACAGAATTACTAATTAGACTATTACAAGTTATGTGGGTAGTTTTGACTTCGAGTTGGTGCCCGCACTTGTTCCACCTTTAATCGAACCTTGAGCGAACTGGTAAGGCCAAATGGTTTTATGGCGTTTGAACCATTCTCATAAATTTGGTGCTGTTTTTTTGAGTGTGCTTGAAAATCACACTTTTGTTGTCGCAGACATATCTTTTTTTTTTTAATGCACGAAGGTGCAATCATAAAATTGCCGTGTCTATAATTAGCTGCAAAAATTCACTCCGAGTTGTGTTTCCTTGTGGAGCAAAAACTACAAATAGAAATTTCGGTGTTCCAGCTCGCATTACTCAAGATAGCACGTTTCGACTATGTATCCGCACGCAATAACTCACATACCACTTAACTGTTACATGCCGTACACATCCGCTTGGTAATTCTTCGTGTGTAACAATATATACACAGTTGCATTTTGCATTTCATGCTTACAGATACATGCAACTGCGTTCAGACATGTGCAGTATTTCGGATTTAGTTATAGTCAAAAGTGGCGATGCATTTATTTCGTTGAATACTACCATGGAGCCAGTGAGGAGCAGGCGATGGCACAGCCAGCGCACTCAATGTTGACACTTTTCCTATAATGCTTCACGTGCCTGCAGTAGTTTCTGAGGTTCCTTGAGAATTATCTATTGCAGCAAAAGACCATGTACAAAACCTAATCTGCATATGCAAAGTTATATTCAAGCTGACTTAACACGTGTTTGAATGTCATTGATGCATGTGCATCTGTTAGCTGATAGTGGAGTTAGCAAACATAAAACCATAACCTGCCTGAGCGAGCCCGCAATTAGGAATGGGACAGAATTATGAGCACGGTCAAATGCTGCCGATATGTAGCAGAGGCTCTCGACAACACACGAGCCAAATATTGAAGTACAGCACCCGACCTGAAATTCACAATAAATTATCAAAGTCAGCTAAAATCGCTTTTCTTTTTTTCGACAAATCACGGGAGACGCTCAAAAATCACTCATAAAAAGCCCATCTATGAGCCATGGGCTGATTTGAAATGCCGCGCACAATCACACTGAAAAAGCTGCGCATTTGAAGAAAAAGGAAAAAAAAAAAGTGCTGAAGGTCACGAGGCGCAGGTGACATAGTTTCTTTGCCCCTGCCACCACTTCCAGCACTTTCGTCAAGACGAGAAGAGAGAGTTATTGCTGTGCGCGACAAATCTTGAACCAACTGCTTTGGTTCATCTTCATGATCAATAAATGTTTTTTTTTTTGTGTGAACACTGTTTTCGCTGTTTCTTTTGGCCTTCATTTGAGATAAGTTTTTTATTTTTTTACCGGGCTTCGAACTTTTGGGAGTCGGCTTAAAATCGGAGTCTGCCTAGATTCGAGTCAATACGGTATATCCCACAGTGAGTGTTGAGAAAGCGTGCTCGATGTATTATTGAAGGTTAAGAAGTATTGAACGATGGACACATCATTTGCTGCATGTGAAGGAATGTGCAGCTTTAGTGAACACAATCTAAGTATTGTGCCTGAAGACTTCCTAACTGTCGAAATACATGAACCGTGGTTCATATTCAGGTGCGAAAAAAGGATGACTTTCCTCGATGGGGTATTCTCAGACTGTGCGCTTGCGACCGCACTTATAGAGGTGTAGTTCTTTTATTCTTATTTTTTTTTTACCTGCTGATAGTACAGAAACACCTGTAGCTCACCAGGCCCGAACGGTACAACCAAACACTTGCTGCGGATGCATGCGGCATGAGGTATTTGCGCAGGGTCGTTCGCTGTTAGCTAGTTCATGCGAGCAGATGGCTGTGCTCTGCAGAGGGTCAGTGCGAGACACTTTGCACAGAAGCAAGAGCAGCACAAGTGTAGAGCAACATGATGCTTCTGCTTCTAGTCCTATGTCTTTTCGCTTTAATGCAGGACTACAAAGAAAGCAGAAATGTCAGTGTTGAACCCTATAATCACTTTTCACAGTAGAAACTGCCCTCTTTTCATGCACTTGTAAACAAAAGGCACTTGGTTGTATACGACTGCTGAAGCATGATCCGCCAATAGGCTGCTGATCCGCTTTTACAAATCCACAATTCTACATAATGATTGGTATGTGTGCATAAAAAAAAAAAAAAGCCAATAAGAGAATGATCATATGTGATCAGTGCAGAATAAAAATAAAACACAACAGTCTACAAAAGAGACATCTTGATGAAACACACATTTGTCCTTTCACTTTTACTCAGACATGCACACAATCAGCAGCCCTCACTAGCGACCTGAAGAGGCCGAATGACTGCTCCATATATCACTTGACCTTAATTTTCTTTCTATAACTATATTTTGCAGGGTTACCCCTCCTGCAAAGCAATAAACCTCGTTTTTGACAGCACAGCATGTACACAGTAGCGTCCAACACGTTTTGTGATTCTTGTGCCTGTCTAAGCTCTTAGTCAGGAAACAATAAAGCAAATAATTTCTACTACGACTTGCAGTACCTGTCCAACTTCTAGGTTACTACATAAATCAGGAAAGCCATCATAAAAATTGCCACTGGCAAAAAAAAAAGTAACAGTGAACTGCCGACTGACCAACAACATGGGCGTGCTGCATAGACATCCCCCAAACAACACTCACTATGGCTGCCACATGACGGCACTACCATCAGTGAAAGTTGCAAATAGGTTTCATATAGCTCGATTCTAAATATCTGCATTCGATAATTTAATAATTAGGACAAACTATCCATATGCCAATAAGAGTTCATTAGCAAATATAAATTGTGGCTACAAATGTGCATAATTTCAGAATGATGCGATAAGAGGGAACACTACTTTTGAAAATGTTTGCTTTTCTAGTTTTTTTTTCATTTTTTCACAGCAGCCACTGCGTAACCAAAAAACAGGAAGCGAAGAGCAACTTTGCGCGACTGCCGCAATAAGAAATCATGGAAGAAAGCATGCAATAGCAAGCGACAGTTTCTGCTCACTTTTCATGGCGTCCTGCTATTAAAAAATTTTAACTCTCCCAAATTCACACGGAATTAATCGCTTTCAATAAGGAAAATTAAAATTATTGTGTGGAAAAACAAACTTTTGGGGGCATGCCCAATGAGTGTTATATCACATGTTCTAGCTATTTCTTTTGTGCGATGCCCCAGTAAATTTTCTTATGCATTGATACATTGTCACGTTAAAAAATAGTTTGGTGTAAGTTCGATTTAGTGAGACTTTACTATACTTGATTTTTTTCTAATTAATTTGTGATCCTGTGGAAATCCAAAAGAATATGTTATAGACTGTAATGTTTGATTGAATTAGAAACTTCACTTTTTGAATAAACTTTACTACACCCCCTTACTGCAGGTTTGTGGATCATGTGGAGAGACACGCCAAATAAGTGAGGTAAAAAAATGGCTAATTAAGAGCATACCTTGGTCAATGCGGAAACTCTTGGCAAATCCCTGTGGCCACGCCAAAGAACAGAGATGAGCTCGGGCTCTTCTGTTACATTCCATAAAAGGCCGAGACCCCTATAAAAAATAATTGTGACACACAGAGCAACTTACTTAAACCTGACATTAACAGAAACAGCTAACACAATCAAGAGACAGCACCAATATCAGCTATGCAGCACGGAACAAGTATGCATAATACAGTGGAACCTTGATACGAATTCGAAGGGAGCACTCAAAATATTTGTATGATCCCAAATTGGTATGAACCAAAAACAAGTCAAAGCTGATATTGAAGATAAACAAGAACTTTATTGGCAACTACTTCTAGCTGAAAATGTCCATGATGTTCTTTTGAACTTTCCTGCCTTCACGATCTCTCAATAAAGTGGGTTTATTTACTTATGCCGCTGGCGCAGCACGTTCACACTTTACATCAAAGCCAGCGAAAGCAGCAAAACTCATTTGAACTTTACTCGCTTCGGCGCATAAACGGTTGGAAAACCTCGTCGCGAAGTCCACACAAAAATAATCAGTTCTGGAGAATTCGAGCAAAACCCTAGAGCGGCTGGAAAACCATGTCCATGCCCGTTGTCAACTGCTGTCATCGTCGCTTGAAAGGTCATTCCATTTTGCGTGTATGTATATGTATGTATATATATGTATGTATATATATACCGTATTTACTCGCATAATAGGTGCACCCCTAGTTTGGCCGCGGAAAATTCGATTTTTTTAAAATTCCGCGCGTAATAGGCGCACCCCGAACTTGGCCGTGATCAGAAACGATTCTACCCTCCAGCGGTACAGTTGGAACGCGGTCCCCGTACCCTGAAAAAAAAAAAAAAAAAAAGGAGGCAAATCGACGAGCAAATAAAAAAAATTCGAAGTGCAACGACCTAACCAACGTGTTTGTCGAAATAAAACTTGAAAAAAAAAAAAGCGTCCATGAGCGAAAAAAAAAAAAAAAAAAGGCTGTTCCATCAATTACTGATACCCCCCAAATCGCCGCGCTTTTTGGAGGTCACGTGTACAACGCCGGGGGCTTGATCGCCATCACCACCATCAGAGAAAAAGAAAGAAACGCCATTTTGCAAGCGGTGTGCGTATGTTGTGGTCGTGTATTGAACTTTGGTTCCACCATGGGGAAGTACACGAGCTACACGGCTGGGTTTAAACTGAAGGCAGTGCAGTACGCGCTGGAGCACGGCAACCGGGCTGCAAGCAGGCATTTCGGCGTTGGAGAAACCAGTATTCGGTACTGGAGGGACCAAGAAGAAAAACTTAAGGCGACGAAGAAGACACGACGGGCTTTCCGTGGTGCCAGGACCGGCAGGTATCCGAACGTCGAAGAGCAACTGGTCCGGCATATACGGGAGCTACGACAAGACGGCTGTGCTGTGTCGTTTGATATTGTGCAGACTGAGGCTCGCAGAATAGCCCGAGCGCAGGGCATCGAAGCAAAAGAGTTCAAAGCCAGCTCCGGATGGACAACTCGTTTCATGCGGCGCCATGGCCTCGCACTGCGAAGGCGGACCACCTTGTGCCAAGGCTTGCCCGCAGCATATGAGGACAAAGTGGCGGACTTCCACAGTTTTGTTTTGTTTCCCTATTCGGAGTTTGACTCCGAATATGGAAAAGGAGGAACAGCTACAACTTTTGTGTAAATTTTACGTGTGTGTGTGCAGTTGACGGCTCTCGCTTGTTCATTAAAAGGTACGTAGGTATGTTTGTTTTATGCTGAATTAATTGGTAAACGATAAAGTCGCCTTTTACTTGACAAGTGTGCAGATTTAAAGCGCGAGAACCGAGTTGAAAAAATTTTCGAAAATTTTACCCCGCGTAATTGGCGCACCCCTAACTTCGAGCCGGATTTTCTGGAAAAAAAAAAAAAAGTGTGTCTATTATGCGAGTAAATACGGTATATATATATACAGGAAGGATGTGCTAGCCTCCTTTTTCTGCGGAGTGAACATCGCCTTATTGGCCGGGGTAGTCTGCGCGCGCTTATCTCGCCAGGGAACGGGGGGCTTATGGTTATTGTTTTGAAATGACGCTAAGCGCCGCCGTCATTTAGCGGGACGTTTAGTGGTGTTTGGTACAACCCCGTTTCAAGCAATTGCTCTACTCATCTCTCCACTATTTAAATCTTAACAACGTGACTTTCGCAGCCATTGGCTCAGTCGAGTGAAATCATGGCAGAGGGCACCTCAACCAGTAGCCAAAAAGAGCATCTCCGCCATGTTTTCGAGGTTCAGCGTGTGATGGTGCTCGCCTTCATGGAAGAGCATTCCCAGTGCGCAGTGAAAGCCCTCGAGCTAGGGCATGGCTACACTGTCGCCGGCCGGCGGTGGCTGTGGCAGGAGCTAAGTGACGCTCTTAACCATGAAAAGCCTGCCCGGGGAAAAAAAAAAAAAAAAATCACAACATATCCACGGAGTAAATGATGAGTGGGGCGAAGCTTGAAAGGGTTTTATCAGTGAACCGTGACCCCTCCGTCTATATCCATCTGTCTACGACAAGATACGGACAAACAGAAGACAGGGTGGCTACGACAACGAAGAAGGGACTGAGCCGCAGCGTAAGTGCAGGGGCCCGCTGCAACGCTGCCGCTATCTAATACGCACGCATGTCAGTGAACGTCGAATGGTCCGAGCGATTTATTCTTTGACATTGGTGTATATTTCCAGGCCACTGGCTCGCTGGCATCTAGTGATAGGGTCAAGTTCGTGGCGTGTCCCACAAGATATGCACTGTTCGATTCAACAGACGAAAACATTGTCGGAACTCTTTTTCAATCAACTATCCAAAGGCATCCCTCGCTTCGTCTTCTCCGCTCGACCGCAGAAGCAGCACAGGCGAGACAAAAAACTGTGGCAAAGAAAGGAAATGTCATGGTCTCAAAGTGCCCGGATACTGAAAAGGCCCGAAGCGCTTACATTTCAATCTAATCTATGGTGCCTCGCAGCCATTTCAATCCATTCGTATCATTTCAGACAGTCTCTCCGACCGTTCCTTTGCCTCCGTCCTAAACACGCACACATGACACCTCGGCTCACGTGACATAGAATGTCGCGGCTCAAATGGGCCAATCACGTGCGACTCGATGGAATGGAACGCCTGCGCCCGAATTCGGAACATGTACAAGATTGCAATGCAGATTAACGACGACTTTTTCAAAAATCCCCCTCTAAATGTCAATTGGTTTAATGTAAAAATATTTCACTGCTACGAATTTCGAAGTACTCAATGTTTCAAAACAACATAACGAATTTTAGGCCCTAATATCTCCAGAAAATTTCAAAATAACGAGTAACAATTTTAAAAAGTTACTCGCGACTGTGAAAATAATGCCCATCTCCGTACCGGACACAATCGTCATCATCAAGACACCCGTACATTTTTTCATCCGCTCTATTCAAATGTGTGAAAGCCTTATAGCTGTCATCATCGATGTCGGGCTTCGCCCCGTTGCCTTGCACGTCGTGCTTCGCCCCGTTACCTTTGTTTTCATCGGCCAGCTTTACGCCTGTTACACAGCGGTTTTCTAACCTTGTGGTTGGAGGTTGAACGTTCATGATGAGCTCCGAAAGCAACCCGAAAGAAATGCTACGATAGAGCGAAAAATGGGACGCGAGTGACTTCAGGGATGAAGTCGCCGATGATTACCCATGCATGCTTCACTGACGCTCGAACACTGCACACAGTGCGACGATGAAGCATGCACTTCAGCTTAGCTGACACCTGATAAGACCGATAATATTTGTTGTGATAAGAAAAGGGCAATGAGAGCGAAGACGATGTTAAAACAGCGCAGGCGAACTAATGTGAAGCATCTGTATTCAATTCCAATGCTTCACAGTGCATAAGAAGGATGTGCATGCTTAAAATTGTGTCTTTCTGCAGTCGAGCCGCCCACATTAGGATAGATCATGCTCTTCCTCAAATAAACATGCACTGATTCTGTTATATTTCGTGTTGCTTGTTTTTTCACGCTCATTACAGCATAATGTGGTCGCAAATGTATTTACAGCACAGGTTGGCAAGTCACGTTTGCCTTAAAATTTGTTTACTAACTTTGAAATTTTCAAAATAACAAATGATTTTTAGAGGTCTTTTGAGATTTGTTGTATCGAGGTTCCATTACGCGAAGGGATATTATTGTATGTGCCCTCCAGGCGATAGAGATGGGCCGACTCATTCGATCTCCGATTCAGAAGCGCTTGCGTGCTTTTACCCACTCGTAAACTTACAATGTGTGGGCATGTCATCAATTAGGACTTTTTACGGAACACAGCAGCAACAGCAAGGACCTGTCGTGAGTGTCTATATAGTTGCTATCACAATAATAATGCAGTTCTTACCGCTAAATAGATGTTTTGGGTGAGCTCTGTCTTCTGTTCCCCTTTTGTTTAATTTGCGAGTTTATTTCCCCGGATTTTTTTATCGAACCTGCATATAACGAAATCCCTTTTATAACAAATTTTTTTGGTAACTCATCAAGTTCCTTGTACCCAAATTTAACTGTAAATCGATTTGCGTGAATCACTAGTGAACTTTTAACTGGCTGTGGAAATACTAAAAAATTAATCAGGGTGCTCCGGGACCTCACAGTATTGTTTAATAAGGGGGAACACGGGTCTTTTTGGCACCGAAAAGTTTTGAAAAAAAAAAAAAAAGGTAAATTTCAAAAATGCTATTTTCAATCTACATGCACTATTCTCCTTATTCCCAAAGTTTTCTATCTAAAATGCGTCTATTTGAAGTGCAACACAACTTTGTTGCATCAATTCGTATAGATGTAGAACTGAAAACAGTAATTTCATTGATGCATGTTCTCGTTCTGCCACTACTTTGATTTCATTTGAAAAAGCAGCCTTTCGTCTTCAATTTTCGCACGCTAGCACCTCCCTCTATTCGCTTGTGCAGGCAGCAAAACAGCATGAAAAAACTGTACAACCGCTGCACCTATTCCTTGTTCCAGGCACATGATAAAACTAGCTACACCATTGGCTGAAAGCATCGTCTGCAAGCGCGAGTGCCTTGTTGACGCGGCTGCCATTTTCTCCTGCCGTCAA